TTTTATATGTTATATTTTATATTTTACATTTAAATTTTATTTCCTTTATTTCTGAGCCACTCATAATTTATATTTAATGCTTCTAAGTATGGGAAACTTTTCGCCCGCACATTGACCTCTGAAATCATCTAGGGACAGATCGTGGAGGGCCACACCGCCCAAGCCCTGAGCCCGGACGAAATCAGCCTTTATCGCCGCCGTGGTGGGATCCTCGTAGCCCACCCAGATGCCGTTCTCGCCATTGTCGTCAGCCGCTCGATAGGCATAGATGCCAAAACGCTTCGTGGGATCGCCCACCTTGCGCAGATGGTCAGCACTCGTATCCTTGCCCTGGCCGAGATGACGCTGCAAGAGATCACAAATCTCTGGCCAGCTTAGCAAACCGGGCTGATTCGTCTGCCTGCCACCGGGAGCTGGTCCCTCCGTATCGGCAATTGGCGGAAATCCAGTGATGCCCGAATCGCGCGACATTTTCCACGAACGTCCGTAGGTCGTAATGCCGATGTTCAGCTGCTGCGCATTGGCCGTGTGATTGAGCCAATACTGCACCTGCTGGTTAACATTGTGCCTGGCATCGCGATCGTACATATCATACAGCGGAGCCGGCAGATCCGCTTGCTTGGGATCCCGTTGCGGGGTTTGGAAATCGTAGGTGCCCAAATTGACAAACTCCACAAAGCTGAGCACCGATGGTACATCTATGAAGACTGCAGCAGAGAATGAGGCGACTTTTCAGATGGTATTCCATTTGGTACTTACGCTCTGCATCCACATGTGGCAGCATGCTGAGCGTCAACAGTTTACCGTTGCGCTGCAGCTCCAGTCGCAGCTCCCTGACAAAGGAGGCGAACTGCGCCTTGTGCTCCTCGGCCTTGGGATCGATGGAGTTGCTGCTGAACCAGCCCTTAAACGAGGTCCAGGCGCGCTTCAAGGCGCCCTGCTGCCGCTTGGGCTTTAGCAGCGGGAACTGCCAGGCCAAGTCCAAGCCATCGAAGCCATAGTTCGACAGCTCCTCTCGAGCGCTGGCCTTGAAGCTGTTGCGATGCTCCGGCTGCTCCAGTAGGCTCAGATATTTAATGCTATCCGCCACGCCCTCAGCATTCACATCACGGCCACCGCCCACGGAGAGCAATATACGCAAATGTGGATGCTTCCGGCGCAATGCCGTAATATGACTATAATGCTGGCGATTATAGCTGAGCTCGGGATTCAAACTCTTGATCTTAAAGCTCTCCGCATCGATGCCGGCATAGCCATAAATCAGGTAGTTGCAAAAGCCTAAAGCGGGCTCCAGTTCCTGCAGCGAAAGTTGTGCAGGACCTGTAAGCATAACAAAAACAAGAAGCTATGTATATATGTGATAAATATGTATATATGTATATGTGATGTACACATGAAATAGAAGAGATAACCCCCCATTTCACCCTGCCATTTGGCATACAAAGATTAGCTCTTGCTCACCTTCACGCACAAAGCTCGACGCATCGTAGTAGCAAACGAGCTTGGCCACATCTGCTTGGCTTGGAGGACAGCCATCCAGCCAGAGCAGACCAGCTAACAGGAATATCCAGCCCTTAGGCAACATGTAGATGTGTGTGCGCGTATGTGTGTGTTTGTTTGTAGAGGAGAACAGTGTGTGCTTGCTTTGACTTGGGTTTAGAGACTGCCAGTCGCTGTAGCTGAACTGCTGCTGATAGCATGAATAGAAACGACTTGAGACTGAATCCAAAACAACTCAGTGATAAGGCGTGCAAGGGAGATGGCATTACTTTGATTATTGTCGACTAGAAGCTGTGCACTAATTGGGCTTTGTCATAAATCAGAATGTGTATGTGCGTACGCTGACTGAATTACATGTAAGGAGAGATATGTGTATATGTATAATAGCTTTTCATCAATTTTTCACGCTCGAAGAGACAATTTTCCAAAACACTGAACAATTTTAGCTACTTATCTATGCAACATCAAACAATTACTCAGTCACTTAATAAGTCAATCACTTGGATCAGGCAGTCAGGTATAAGAGTCTCCAACTCAGTTGCTCAGTCACTCAGTCGGTACATTAGTTCAGCAGTCAATCAAGTCCATTAACATTGAGTCCATCAGTCAGCAGTTCCTGAGTCAGTCAATTAACTAGTTCAGTGAATCAGTCAGTCACTCAGTCTGTCAGTCAATCAGTCAATTAGTCAATCATTCATTCAGTCAATCAATCATTTAGTCAATCAATCGTTCAGTCAATCAGTGCTCTAGTCAATCAGTCAGTCAATTAGTCAGTCAATCTGTCACTCAATCAGTTAGTCAATAAGTCAGTCAATCAGTACTTCAGTCAATCAGTTAGTCAATCGGTCTGTCAGTTAGTCAGTCAATCTGTCACTCAATCAGTTAATCAATCACTCAGTCAATCAGTGCTTCAGTCAATCAGTCAGTCAATCGCTCTGTAAATTAGTCAGTCAATCAGTCAGTCAATCAGTTAGTCAATCACTCAATCAATCAGTCAGTCAATCGCTCAGTCAATCAAAGTGTTTATTAATCAGACAGTAAATCAATCAGTTAGTCAGTCAATCGGTCAGGCAATTAGTTGGTCAATCAGGGCCTCAGCTAATAAGTAATCACTTTTATCGATTACTGAGTCAATCAATCAACTAGTTATTGGATGAATCAGCTTAGCTCTCGCTTAGCTTATCAATTTTTTAGTCAGCCAAACACCCAATCAATCATTCAGTCAGTCAGCTAGTTAATTGACTAGTAAGGCTATCAAGCAATTTAATCAGTAAAGCAGTAAGTTTCAAGCAATCAGATTTTATTAGTCAATCATTCAATCAATCAATAAATTACTTAGTCAGTCACTCTATTTCACATCAACAACTCACTGAGCGCTTAAGATAGTCATTTAGTCACTTCATCAAGCTGTCAATCAGTCTATCAATCACTCAGTGCAAACTTCACAGAGAATGGTTTACTTTTGAGTGGAGTCTTTGACAATTTCTATGATGAATATGATATGATAGGGATGGAGATTATAATCTTGGCATATATACATATATACATAAATGTGTATATATGTATATTTATTCTTCTCCTTTCAGCTATATCACATATCAAAGAAAACTTAACCAGTTTCAATATTCAATTAGCTCACATCAACTTTTCACTTAGTCGCATTTGGGCTTTTGTCAGTGTTTTCTCTTAGTTGCGTAACAGCATTTCAATTAGGAAGTGTGATTAAAACATCAAGGCTTAGCGCATTCCTAGGCTTTACACATACACACTTATTTATATATATATACACATGCATATACATATATACATATATATATATATATATAGGTGTATCTATGGCTAATGCAAGACAATTACCAAAAACGCAAATCCCCAACTCGACAAGGAGCAGATTGAAATGGATTTCAGTGGGTTATGTCTAATGGGGTTGTGTGGTTCAGAGTGAAGTAGGCTTTGCTCTCACACACTCACACCCACACATCCACACATACTCCTACATATATATAGAGCTGTCATTAGTTGCTGTCGCTTTTGCCAGCGGCGCTCTTTGGCTCTTGTCTCTGGCTCATGTCACTTTGACGCCATCACACCTACACATAAAGCCAACAACATGCCACCCCCTTAATACGCCTTGCCATCCCGCTGCCGCACACACCCCTGGCTATCCCCAGGCTACCGCGCCTCGCTATTCCCAGCTGACAATAATGTTTTGTGCCCAGCTTAAATACATTAAAGCATTCGCTGTCTAACATACAACATGGCAAATGATGAGCCACACTCACACACAGCCTCACCCACACACACACACACACACACACACAGCAACTGGCACTTAAAACGTGCTGAGTGTCCTTTAGAGGCTTTTACGTCTGCCCTCGAACTCTCTTGCCCAGTTGATTAGCAATTTCGCTCACGTGGCGCTATTTGTTGGCTTCAGTGGGCGTCTGAGGCTGGGTGGGGGCGTGGCAATTGTTGACTGTTGACTGTTGGCGTTTATAAAAATAATTTCATTTTTCATGTTTTCTTTCCTGTGTGTGTGTGTGCATATACATAGATGTATGAAATATTCATAGCAAAATATTTTCCTATTTCATCATCTATTTTCTTTTTCAGCTCTCATCAATTTGGCTTGCTTTTAGCCAGCTTGTTGCTGCTTGGCCAGCACTGAAGTGCTTAACCAAATCCTTTGCGTAATTACTCTGCAGCGACTACAAACTCAAACGTCCCCCCCTTCGCTCAAGTCTCAGCTCCTGCCTGCTTAAGCGCCAGCCTTACCCTTCCGTCCGTCTTTAATAGATTTGTCCCTAGGGCCAAAGGCACAAAGGCGAACGTAAAAGGCATTTAAAATCTCGCCCAATCCAGGGCTGTCTTTCATAATGTTTTCATTTTGACTGTAGGCCGTTTAAATGTTTTATGTGCTGTGGCTTAAGGCATCAACTCTAAATACGTATACGCCCTGCGTGACGCGCCTAAGAGATGCAACAAAAAACTTCCGATTCCGTTTGTCAAAAAAATAAACATAAATTTTATAGGATGCCAACGCATAAAAACCACACACACACACATACTAAAAGCCATAAAACTAACCACAAAAAAGAACACACACACACACGCACAACAGCAACAACCGCAGGGCGTGGCAAATCAACAGAATATTTCATATATGGCCAGGCACAGACGCCCTAGCAAAAGTGCACACATGCTCATGGACACGCCCACAATTGCCCACACACAACAGCAAACACACATACACACACATCATACACACACACACACTGACACACTCCACAGGTTGACAATAAAACTCTGGTCGTAATAATAAACTAATAGTGCCCCAGCTGCCAAGAAATGCCTCTGACTATCTTTTGTTCTACTCCCGCAGTCAACTGTTATGCATATAGAATACACACACACATACACATATATGTGTGCATATATAAAGTAGATATATAGAAATAGAAATATATGTATATATATGTGTCTGCACAGGCTGAGTTGCGTCTCTGTAATAAAATGGAGCATTGCGGACTTTGTGATGGATAAACTGTATATGAAAAGTTTTAAGGAATTAGCAAAGTCTGTTATGGTAAACTAACAATAGCAGTCAGTTAATAACAGTATGTTAAGTGTAGATGTTAAACGTAGTTATTTACTTTAAATAGCAAGTACAACAGCTTTTCTGAACCGCTCAAAATTATTAATATATAAGAGAAGAAATAT